ATATTCATTTATTCATAAACAATGTTAAATTATATATTTTTCTATATATTTATATATATATATTTCTATGTAATATAATATATATATAATATATAATATAATATTAATATATATAATTTAATAATATTATTTATATTATATTATAATATATAATTTAATATTATATATATATAATTTAACATTGTTTATGAATAAATGAATATCATATTAATTTTTACATAGAAATTAAATATAACGCGTGTTGCACATTTCTCTAGCAAAATATTTCATAGTTGCAAGTAGGAAAACTTGAATTTGTATTAATAACCAAACTTAAACTTAAAATATGATATAAGTAATAAACAACAACATTTACAGTAGAGTCTATCGACGAAATCCTACCGGTTATTCGAACGTATGTATGTATATGTTATTCAAATGTATTTCATTCTCTATAAGTGTCCTAATACTCTAGAGATGGACGAATGATCGTGCGAGCCACATAACCATCGCCACAAATAAACTGTGCAAAATTTTCTTAGAAACTTTTAATTGATCCATCGATATATAAGCTATCGTTTTAGAAAAAAAAAACAAGTACTTAGTACACGTATAAAATATCTACAAACTGACGTGCCCCAAGGGGATGCAGCGATAAGTGTGTAAATATTTTGATCTTTCGATATCCAAAGTGCAACTGCCATAGCATTGTTGTCGATCAACGTTCTCGAGTGACGAAGCTTGTATCAGTTTCAGTTTCATGAACCTTTTCAATTTAAATAATCTCCAACAAATCACGTCGCGGTGATTTCGACGCACCCCCAAAATGCACACCAATGTCAAATAAAATCGCAACAATGTTGCTACCCTCACACACGCTATCTGGTTCTCTCTAGAACAGAATGTGTACTTGGCGTGTCTTGACTATAATTGGAGGCACCGTGAATAACGTGAATCACATATTGCCAACGACGTCCTGTTATAGACTTTAAGAGACGCGTCATCGGCTTCCGGTTTCGGAGCTCGAAAAGTGTAGAAGTGTGTCAACGGTCACGAAACTATTTGCAGTTCGATAGCGAGCGATACTAGATTCTTTTGTTGTAACGAGAAACATGATGGTTAGCTCGTAATCTTTGGATCTAGGACCGATACCAGGGTGAATCACGGTTTCCTGCTCAAGTTCGCCAATTTTTCCCGAAAAACGTTTCGCCGCCAGCTTTTCGCGAGTTTCGAATTCGTTGCATTTCCTCTACTTTTCCTTATTCGTTCCAGCCGATCAAAGTCGAGGCGGATAGTGATTAATGGCCGTAATTACGTAACGCCGCGCATAGAACGGCGCGAACGCGTGCGGGCAGAAACGAACGCTCGACAAACGAAATTTCGGGATATCTGACACTCCAGAATAGAATCAACTAATTGTTCCGCGATTGCGTATCGTTCAGGTAAATATTTAAGGTCAGCTTTAAACCGTGTACGACATGTACTTCTCCCGAGACAAACAAGATCGCGCACGGCAGCATTGTTCGGTGTTTGATTTTTGCCACGCTTTGTGGTTCGATCTATTTCGGTCCGAAGATTAGGAAAGAGAAACCGAAGTCCATTCGTCGCCATCTTCTCTTAAGAAACGCTTGAAAAAGACAAATTACTTCGGTAGCTTTTTTTCCCCACTGTCTTCCTTATTTGCTCGACCGATATTAGGGAAAGAGAACTACGGTTACATACTCCCCATTAATATTCGAAATGTTTTCTTTTTTTTTTGACAATCACTAAACTACTTTGTTACAATTTTGCTATTACTTGAAGTGACAAAACAAAATAAAAAAACTTTCGTTTAGAAAATGCGTCTTGTAGGTCTCGGTAAGTTATATGTGTGCATTTCTCGCACTTATTGATCGAAAAAAATGTAAAATATCGGGACAAAACTGCGATTTTTGCGATCCTTAATCGTTTATAGCTCGTACGCATTTTTTCAATTTTCGTTATAGGTGCAAATAAAAAAAAATTTTTTAAATGAGAGTTTTTTATTTTCGTTTGCCATTCCAAGCAATAACGAGATTTTAAACAAGCATTCTAGTTACGGTCTATTAGACTGATCCTTCTATCATCCAAAAAAAAATTGAAGTCGTCTAGTCCAGTTTTGTAAAAGTTATTCCGTTGTAAAAAGAGTCCCAATATTTTCGTTACCAACTATACGCGGGTTGCGCGTAATGACGTATCGTTCATCCTACGAGCTTCTTATTAATGCAATCTACTCTTATCAAACTACATTCATACCCTGTTCCTGGGAAAACAGTGTCGCGGTTGCAAGCGAATTAATATGCAGCTGTGATGCAACGCTCGAGACACGAAATCCAATCTAATTCATCCGGAAATGTATACTGGAAACTTAGGCACAGTGTAGTCGTTGTCTGCCGTCAGTTTTTAATCGAATTCGCCCATTGGTGTCAAATCGAAGCAATCGGGAAAACCCACGCAATGGAAAGATGAATTTGATAAAAAATAAAAAAATGATGAAATAATTAACTTCGGAAAGTGCATGCTTGAAAATGAGAATATTCAAAGCGTTCACGACTAATAAAACGATGTGCATAAGATTCTCTTTGTTCAGAAGAGGAATGTATTAAACCTTCGCAGTCGCAGCCATTTTAACTCGAAATCCAAAATAATTTTTCTGACCTATTCAATTCTAACCAATCCACTTTATATAACCTGATGCATTTTACACATATGAAACTGAATTTTGCGACTCTTGCAGCAGTTACATTGTTAACAGCTTTTTTTAAATACAAAGGAATTTGGTAATTTTTTTAAATATTTTGAAATTTGATATGACGATTTTTAGTGGCGCCTTAGAGTCGCTAAATCGACTGCGAATGGTTAAATTGATACGAGTTGCGAACGAACGCTAAATCTTTCAACTTCAACTTCAACTTTTTATATTAAAGTGCGAGGGTTAATTCGGCCTGATACACCGGTGCTGAATCTTTTCTTGGATTCTTTTATCGGAAAACGGCGGAAATTCTACCGCTCTCGTAGGAAAAAGTTCTCGGTTACAATATCGCATGTTTCATTTTATTACGTACCAGGAACAGAAGCTAAACTATCGATTAATCCGCGGAAAAAATATCGAATATCTGCCGATTAAAGAAAATGTAAGCAAGAGATAAACAAGGATGAGCCAGCTTTAACCGTCGCGGCTACGAACGGAACGGAATAGTAAGGGGTGAAACGTGTCCGACAGAGACGAAATAGTACGAAGGCGACGAGCGCGATAGATCCCGAGCCCCGAAACGACCGTAACCGTGCGGGTGACAACGCGGAAAAAATATTTACTTTCTCGCCGAGTAAATCGTTATCGTGACCGGGTCCCGGCAATCTCGGATTCGGCCGGGCTTCTGGAGAAATCGCGACATTATCGGCCGCACAATCGCCATCGCTATTTATTTTATTGAATAATCTGTACCGAAAATGGGAACGAAACCACGAGTGTTCGTTGAGATCCTCGCGCGTGTCGGTTGCGAAACGCACCGGGAAGAACCCTCGGCGGAACGCGACGAAAAAGAACCGCGAGAAATCCGCGGCGACGTTCTCGGTTTTTGTCGTTGCTAAGGGGAAGTCGGAGGGCGGTAATTAACGCGTAATTGTTCGACCGAAGCGTGTCGAACGCGCTCGGATAGCCCAATTAAGCCGAGTTTTCGGCTCGTAAAATGTAAATTCGCCGATTATGGCGGATAGATGCGACGGAGGGTGGGGTAAAGGGAGAGCTCCTCCGGCGAGATCTCGCGGCGCGAGGGCGAGGGGTTCGAGAGACGTTATCGTCACGTTATCATCACGTGTCAGTGTTAGCTAATAACAAGCCAAGAGGATAGCGAAGGAAATTGGCACGCGTCGCGCACGCGGCCCCGGTCTCTTGCTCCGGAGAGGAAGGCCGCGGAAAAGAAGGATTCGATGATGGAGGGAAAATCGACGGGACGGAGACGAAGGCCTTGCCGGCGGTCCGATTTCCCGAACAATAGAGCTGGAAGAGGGACGGCCGTGACGGGCCGAGGTAAAAATCGAGGACGCGTGGCCGCCGGAAAAAATAATGGCCGCGTCATCAGCTAAAATTAAGTCGATCGGCTCGTTAGAGCGCTCGACTGAGATAAAACGGTCATTTTTCGCGAGCAGTTTTCGCGACCGAAGACACACACCGTTACGCAACCGCGATCATAAACGTTCCCCATTCCCCCCTCGGTTAAATGACGCACAACGTGTCCCCCAACTGTCTACCACTCGCATCTCCTTATCGCCTCGATATCGTGACGAATTCGCGTGATTAGAAAAGGGCACGGTCCTCGCGCAGTCGCGATTACATTCGAAAGGGTTCGAAGATTTGAATGATTCGAATGACCTTGTCGAAGCGAAGACTTCTCTCCGATTTTAACGGGACATTTTTCAATACGTCCAGTGCTTGAGCTGTTTTCGCTCGACTCTTCACTCGGATCATACAAATTGATATATTATATGTAATTACTGATTATTGTATATGCAACAATGAAACGAACTTATTATGGCTCGTTCTTTTGGCGTAAATTAATTCTTCGTTGATTTGGTCTAATTTTTTTCTGTTTCTTCTACGTCAACAGGAAGCGATTAAAAAAGGTCCCGTTGAAATAAGACAACAAAGAGATAAAATAGAGAAATATAGTCGTTTCCTGCATGGAAAGATGTACTGAATAAAACATAAAAAGAACGTGTGAGAGAGAGAGAGAGAGAGAGAGAGAGAGAGAGAGAGAGAGAGNTTCTGGAGAAATCGCGACATTATCGGCCGCACAATCGCCATCGCTATTTATTTTATTGAATAATCTGTACCGAAAATGGGAACGAAACCACGAGTGTTCGTTGAGATCCTCGCGCGTGTCGGTTGCGAAACGCACCGGGAAGAACCCTCGGCGGAACGCGACGAAAAAGAACCGCGAGAAATCCGCGGCGACGTTCTCGGTTTTTGTCGTTGCTAAGGGGAAGTCGGAGGGCGGTAATTAACGCGTAATTGTTCGACCGAAGCGTGTCGAACGCGCTCGGATAGCCCAATTAAGCCGAGTTTTCGGCTCGTAAAATGTAAATTCGCCGATTATGGCGGATAGATGCGACGGAGGGTGGGGTAAAGGGAGAGCTCCTCCGGCGAGATCTCGCGGCGCGAGGGCGAGGGGTTCGAGAGACGTTATCGTCACGTTATCATCACGTGTCAGTGTTAGCTAATAACAAGCCAAGAGGATAGCGAAGGAAATTGGCACGCGTCGCGCACGCGGCCCCGGTCTCTTGCTCCGGAGAGGAAGGCCGCGGAAAAGAAGGATTCGATGATGGAGGGAAAATCGACGGGACGGAGACGAAGGCCTTGCCGGCGGTCCGATTTCCCGAACAATAGAGCTGGAAGAGGGACGGCCGTGACGGGCCGAGGTAAAAATCGAGGACGCGTGGCCGCCGGAAAAAATAATGGCCGCGTCATCAGCTAAAATTAAGTCGATCGGCTCGTTAGAGCGCTCGACTGAGATAAAACGGTCATTTTTCGCGAGCAGTTTTCGCGACCGAAGACACACACCGTTACGCAACCGCGATCATAAACGTTCCCCATTCCCCCCTCGGTTAAATGACGCACAACGTGTCCCCCAACTGTCTACCACTCGCATCTCCTTATCGCCTCGATATCGTGACGAATTCGCGTGATTAGAAAAGGGCACGGTCCTCGCGCAGTCGCGATTACATTCGAAAGGGTTCGAAGATTTGAATGATTCGAATGACCTTGTCGAAGCGAAGACTTCTCTCCGATTTTAACGGGACATTTTTCAATACGTCCAGTGCTTGAGCTGTTTTCGCTCGACTCTTCACTCGGATCATACAAATTGATATATTATATGTAATTACTGATTATTGTATATGCAACAATGAAACGAACTTATTATGGCTCGTTCTTTTGGCGTAAATTAATTCTTCGTTGATTTGGTCTAATTTTTTTCTGTTTCTTCTACGTCAACAGGAAGCGATTAAAAAAGGTCCCGTTGAAATAAGACAACAAAGAGATAAAATAGAGAAATATAGTCGTTTCCTGCATGGAAAGATGTACTGAATAAAACATAAAAAGAACGTGTGAGAGAGAGAGAGAGAGAGAGAGAGAGAGAGAGAGAGAGAGAGGAACTTTTGAGAATATTCCCTTTGAAAGGGAATGAAAAATATTCCCTTTTTAACACTATGTTAAAAAGAACCATTCAGTATTTACGTACTGTACGGAATACACAATATACTGAGTAGAAAAAACCTTAGTCAACAGTTTCTCAGATGTAAACATCTTTCTTTATGAAATATTAAACAGTTTTTTTTTTGACGCCGTGTATAGTAAATTCGTACTAAAATACCGAGAGAGGTAAATTAATAATCCTAAAAGAAACTGTTAACTTCTATTAAATAACTGACGTTATCAACGGATACTCAATTGTTATTGCCATTGATAAATTCATTAAAATAAATGCCCGGCTGTGAATAGTCTCATTGTTAAAACTTTTAAATTATTGCCAATGGCTAATTCGTTGACGAAATTTTACAGACTAAAAATAGTGTATGCAACCTTGCTATTAATGTAAATGAATGAATTCTTACTACTTTGAGCTTCACAATAATAATATTATTTATTCATAATAATTAATAATTAATTAATAATTCAATTTTAAACGTAACCAAAAAGTTTACCTAAACAATACAAATCTTCCCGGAAAAGGTGAAGTTGACGTACAACGCAAAACAACGCGAAATCATTAAACGAGAGTGCTTTGATCGAGCGTTGTACAAATAAGTAATACATAGATAGTCAAAAGAAAATTTAAATCGCACAAACACTTTTCAACTTGTTCAATTAACATTTTTAATTCGCAAAACCTCGAGGATGGCAACAATTTCAGATGTCGCCAGCCAACTTCGGGAAGGTTCGTCGAACTTCGTGACAATTCGGCCGGCGAGTCATGTGGTCAAAATTAAGCGCGAAACCGGTGAACTTTTTTCACGAAATATTAATGATGATGAAACTATAAGCTGACGAATATTTTCAGTTACTGGGGGATTAACCGGGGATTTCAATCTAACATTGCTTCGGATATCATTGCTTTTTCCATTACTGTAAAATTAGATAATCCTAATGGCATCGGATACTTAATCCGATGTTTCTAGAATATCGATCATTCAAAGAAAATATCTGATCCTCGCCATAAAATATTCATAGAATTGTTTTCGCGATCGATAATCACCGCCAGATTAATTGTCACTCAAGGATCGTGTAACCAACGAACAGCCAACGTTACACATACGTCGAATGTTTTCTACACACTCTTGAATAGAGTTTGCACAGTATCGTGGATAGGTATGATCAAGAGAAATGATGCAACGTAGAACGATGATCATAAAATAAGAGACCGAGAATGATTCTGAATTTGTATTTTATTGCGAGTATGCCAACTAGATATATGTTTATAGAAGCAATGCCGACATGGACACCCACCTTGGAAAACAAGACTCCTCGATTACTTTGCGTAGACGCCGTTTGCGAATGTACCGCAATCTGATAATTATTGTTGACAGAAATTGGAAGGAGTTTGATGATACTATTCGCGCATTCACATGTATACCGGCGATTTTCCGATATTGTTGGCTAGTGTTTCTACGAGATGTTCTTTCGAGAAGGTACCACTGGTAACTAGTTCTCTTTCGCGAAGTTTCGGACAGCTGAAATTGCTGGCTAAATCGATTGTTGGTCTATAATGCTGACCGGCAACTAAACAAGAAACCTAGGAAAAATCCCTAGGACACACCTGGAAACACGCTGCCGAAGGTACCCTCGATAAGCAATTCAGGAATTCTCTCAATCGGTTGTTTAATATGTACATAATGACACAGAAATTGACATTGTACAAGTAAATCGGATGTGAAATTAACAATTTTTAACGTCTGTTGATCAGTGATATTTTTAATAGTTTTTTCCACTCATACGAACACACCACCTTCCCTCGTTTATAGCTATAAAGAAATAAGAACTTGAAAAAATTTTAGATAAGTAAATATTTATTCAATCCGAAGAAATATGTATTCCAGTCTTGTGATTAAAATTTTAAATTGGCTGCACTGAAAGTGCAATCACGTGTAAAAATCTGCATGTGTACAGCTATATTTGCAACAGCAAACAAATACTATTATAATTATTTAATGCTTTATAAATGATTATATATTCGTATATTATAACTGTACATATAAAATTGGTATGATTACTGTAAAAATACTTACTGTAAAAATAGTGTATTTAGATTTTATAGATATATTTAGGGAACTCAGTATCCCTAAATTTTGAATAGGACTGTACGTATATGTATCAACACACTCAACACAAATAGGCCGTATTTTTCACGCTAGATCTGAGTCGGTAGATCTTTTCTCAGTGAGAGGAAAAGATTTCGTTGAAGTTGAGTAGAAATAAATCTATAGGATGCTGAGAGGATTGATTGATTAATATTACTAGCAAACTTGTCCAAGAAATAATAGGTTCATCATCAATGTAAACAGTTCGATTGAGAATCTTTAATTTCAGAAATTTTAACGTCAAAATGACTATTGCTATATGCTCAATTTGCAAGGATAATCTTATAGATTCCGATAATATTTATCACACTGAATGCGGTCATGTGTTCCATTATCATTGTTTAGGACAATGGCTTGAACGGTAAATCATTTAATGGATACAATAGAAAAACATGAACTCACCAACATTATGGAGTATAGAATACTTTCACTTTACTGTATATATTCATATAAATATGCTGTTTTATTTACAGATCAAAGAGTTGTCCGCAATGTAGAGATAAAGTTACCCGCAGCAAGATACATAGATTGCACTTGACACTTTCTAATAGTCAGGGTGCAGAAGAGGACTCCTGCTGCTTGAAAGAAAAAATACAAAATTTAGAGTTTAAAATTCGGTTGAAAGAGAAAGATATACAATATTATACTTCTAAAAACATTGCTTTGGATAAACAGAATGATGGGTTGAAAAGAGAAGTTCGAAAAGTAGAAAGTGAGCTCAGGAAACAAAGTTCAACCCTGTATCAATTAGAAATGCAACATGAAAGCTGTAGCATTGTGAAGAAAGAACTTATACAAATGAAGTGTAAAGTGGATGAACTGAAGCCGTATGTAATTATTGTTTATTGTAATACTATGGATTTCATTTTATTTATTTCTTGCATGTTTCAGATTAGAAATATTACTTAAAGCTCCTGTTGGTGATGTTATGCGAATGGTTGGAAATACTAAAGACCCTGACATTCTTATCAGATACATTTCTGTTCTAAAGAAGTGAGTAATTCATATTAACTAAATTATTGTATTTTCACATCCATAATATTGTAAATTATACAATCCATAGAGAATTTGCTGAGAGCATTAATAAGCGCAAAAAGTTGTGCATGACACTTAAGAAATGTCAAGAGGATGTTGCAAAGGCTAATCCAAAATATGAATCTTTACAGGGAGAACGATCAAAACGAATGTAAGATATATAAGATCTCAAGAATTAGTAGTAACATTTTTTAATAACGAGCAGATAAATTACATACATACATAACAAATATGAAGCTGTAACGTTTAAATACTCTTTGCAGGGAATTAGAAGAAAAATTGGCTTTTTCGGAAAGCAGAAATATGGCTTTGCAAAAACGAGTTGAAGAATTAGAAAAAGTATTAGGTATTAACGAAACCGATAACATACCGGGCATTCAAGGAATTAATATTGAAGGCAATAATGATAATAAGAATGATAATGATGAAATAATTACAAAACCGGTTGAGGTAATGATTAAAGATAGAAAGAAAGATCCAGACACGTCCCGTCAAAGGGACATTCTATTTAATAAACGGAAAGAAAGAGAACCGAGTGAATTCACTATACCAAAAAAGAAAAAAGAAGATGCTAATATAAGAAAACATTCAAGCGCTGGCAATCATATTTTTATGGATTTAACATAACTCAAAACTATTACACTTCCATATTTTTAAATAGATTTGATAGATATTCATTCTTTTAGAAATTGGTGTGATATTTTTATGTGATAAAACTTTGTAACATTACAGTATTAAAGTATGCGCCATTTTTCGTTTTGCTAATAAATAAAATACTCTACTTTCGTACATTGTAATGCTGAATGTTATTTATCCTGTATATTTAGAAAGACAGTTCCAACACATTCTTTACAATTCCTTTGAAATAATACATATAAGTTCGAATACTAAACTAGGTATTCGGCAACAAATTCTGTATTTTCTATTTAGACATGTATGAAATAAAAAGTGTATAATGCTACCAATTTCAGCATTGTGACAATAAATACGATTGAAATTTTACATCTTCCATTGTAAGAGAAGTACATATCTCTAAAATTGTAGCTCCTAAAAACATTCTCCAAAGCAAAAGAATATCCAATTATAAACAACTATAGTACTATTTTACACTGCTATCTTGCTTGACATCTTTATTATTTTCTCTAAATCTACGATTTATCGAAATGTTCTAATCGGAACATTTCATTTCCAAGACGACTGCCATTGTCAAGGATACCGATTACGAAATTTTGTTTACAAATGGTCGACTTTCGTTGATGAAACCCTTTCCTACGTTCGTATAAAAATGTCGAGTCACAGAGGATACATAATTACACCATGGGAAATCGAAGCTTATATTCAAAGCTTGCAGACATCACAACTTGAAGATATTGGAACTAAAGGGTAAATTCTGTATACCCGTTAATAGTAGCTATAATTTCTACAATCATGTACCTTATTGTCATTTTTAGATGGTATGAATTTCATAAAAGATTGATGTTATTAAATCAACAGAGTGTTCTAGAAGTTAACACATTAAGAGAAGAGAGCGTTAAGGAATTGTTTGTTTCTTACAAGAAGGTACATCAAATATTTGCTTTCGTTATTCACGTAACGGCGACGTACATAGTCGTAACAACTGTCCATTCCACTCCCATTACTATACATATATTATGTAATATGAAAGTGAAGTGGATAGCTACTATGACTATAAATGTATTTCAACTGTTCTTTTTCTTTTTTCAAAAATAAATTACAAGTGTCATTATAATATTGCAGATTCAGATTCTTATATACGAAGCAATCCAAATCCATTTGTGGAAACATAAAGTATTTCCTCTTTTGCTACAAATAAATTCTGAACCACAAAATACATTTATGTTTTTCACTATACTTTATCACGAAGATTTGGCTGTCTCCTTATTGGAAAGTGTACTATTTCATTGTGAAAGCACAGAAACTATTGAAGACACGGCTCTCGATCTTGTCGATTACGCGATTGCATGTGTTTACGAAATTGTTTCCCCGCTGGCTGATGAAGTCTACGAAAATGTGAAAAAACCTAAGTAAGTTATCATGAATTATTAAATTATATAATTAAATTCTGTACTCATATTCGCTATTTATAACTAGTTCATGTATCGAAGAAATCCTAGAAAGAAAAAAAGAACTGAAATTTGATATCGGTATGCGGTGTATTTCGATTCTTCGTTATTTAGCAGAATTCTCAGATAATTTGCCGCTTTCCATTTTATCCCGTATGCTGGCTACACATGATGTGCCATATCTGCTAGTTGATCTAATTGAAAATCGTCCGTGGATCAGAGAAAATAATGACGGTATTTAAACCTATATCTTGCATGAGGAGAATCGAAATAACGATTTCGATAAAACTGTAAATTCTCAGGTGAAAATATGGTATACGATGGTTCCTGGAAAAAAATTAAGTCTGGCGAAGAAGAAAAAGTTTCGAAAATCGAAGGACAAGTTTGGATTGGTTTAAGAGAATTACTACTAAATCCAAAGAGTGCGCCATATTATGAACTCACAGAATACAGAGTAGCTCACTTGATGAAGGTAGTACTGCGTGAAGATAAAATTTGAATGGTGAATAGAAGTATACCTATTGTTCTGAAAATTAGTTGCAGAAGTATCTACATGAAACTGTACTAGATCAAATTTCACCTTTGCTGGATTTAAAAAGATGGTTGAGTTGCATAAGTGTATCGTCAGCGCAATCTAAAGCACCTCGACCGCCAAACGTAGAAGTTATGCTACAGGTTAGCCACAGTTAATTCCAAATTTGACAATTATAACGAAGTCGTTCTCAATAAATCTAACTAAATTGTTAACAGATACAAGCATCGCTCGTAGAAAAATACCATAAAAAATGGAAAAAATTGGCAAAACGTCAGGCAAAACTTCTATTTACAACGAATACAGAAGACGTTAAAAGTGCAGCGCAAATTTTAAGCGACGCGTACGATTTGGATAAATTGGACTCCATTGAGATGAAAGAATGCTTTTTGTGCCAAGGAGTATCTCAAAAACGTTGTTCCAAATGCAAATCAGCTTGGTATTGTGGAAGGTATGAACACTTAATTTATATTATAGTTTGTTCTGCGAAAGAAAAAAACTTTAGATTCACTGGCTATCACAATGGCTGTCCACTCCTCTTAATCAAATGTTGCGAAGTCGCTATGAGGTAGACAGTTATTATGATGTACACTACGCATCTCCTTTTGAGAAACAAAATGGAGCCTAAAATATTAGCAGATATTTTAATTAAATAATTATCGTAGAGAATGTCAAATAAAAGACTGGATAAAACATAAAGCTATTTGTGATAAAATTACGAAACACGAAGAATGTAAACAGTAGAATTAATCGAAATAGGACATAGAGTGTTCAATACCTGTAGCTGTATTTTTGGTACGTACACTAATGAAAATTCAATTTTTAAGTTAGTTTCTAGTTTAAACATAGCAAACAGAGTTTTAAGATATTATTTGGAATTCGTTTCAATACATTTTATAAGAAAAAATAAATATGGATTGAATAAACTGTACGTACAATATTATGTAGAATATTTTATTAAAAAGGTCTTAGTGTACAGAACTTTGTTTGACGTATTCCATCACAACATCCTTTGCAGGAGTGTCCTCCCCAAAGTCCTAAAATTAGAAAATACACTAGTTAACACAACACATTTTTGAAGAGCTACAAAAGTATCAAAATAGTTATTAAAGTCAGAAAGGGGCATGACAGCATAATATTATTTATATTTGGGTTCTCTCAGTAGAGGGAGCCGATAATATCATCATTTAGCATAATTAAAAATTATAATTCAACTTATCATGTATTCGTACCTTTATGACAACACAGGAGCAACCAACAACTTTCCTAGCTTTACCAGCACTGTCAATTTTGCATAGTCCAGCCCATTCGCCAAGTTTCTTATTATTATCTACCCTAATTAATGGGATCTGATGCTCGTTGCATAATGCTTGAACAAGTTTTTTGTACATGGGTTCGTCACAATTTTCAGCTAAGATACAGAGCATAGCTTGTCTCCTGAAATGAAAGATATAACATTCATATAGTAATTTGATTTTTTTAATAAACATTTATAGTAATAGCTTGTTTTCAATTCAGAAAGGGTTAAAGACAGCACTGTTTAGATTTCTTGTAACGGGTTCATCTCAGAAGAGGGAACCTGTACGTATCACATAAAAAATTTCTAACAAATAAGCATCGGTAGCATAATTGTAAAAATGCATAAAATGCATGGAACATACTTATCTAAGGCTTTGGCTGCCTCATGAAGACCATGCACAACTCCATCATGAATCAACGCATTTTTAAGAACTTCTTGAAGAGCTGTATTTACATCGAGTAAGCCTCCCGCTGCAATCGTCGCTGGAATGTCGTCACTATAAAAAAAACAAACCAAATATTTATGTTCTGTACTCCACTCTTTGCAAATATAGAGTTCTATTATTGACGTATGAAACCTGAAGGTTATGTACCGATTTCCCCGGAATGTTTTCGAGCTTTCAAAATCAGTTTAATTCTTGTAGCAAAGTTAGTATAGATTTTTCATAAAATGAAACCTATGATTTTCATAATAAACATCCTATCTGGTAAAGAAAAAACGTGTTGAACGTAACTGTAGAAAATGTACTTACTTCTCTACGTCCGACATGATTCTGATGAACCGGGGAGCTGAAATAACAAGAAAATGTTAATGATTATGCCTTCCGGCTTACATATCGAGACTTTTTCACAGAAAATAATTGCCGATGGCCGTACAATATCCGGATATCTAACGCACCGTCGTGCGACGTGTTTCCATTTACCTTTTCTCACGAAGAAAGAGATATGGCGCCCATTGACCACGCGCTCCTTTGCTTGTCTCCGAAAAGATTCCGATTGGTCGCGTAATTAACAAGCAGTGACGCCTGTGTGACACTTTCAGAACATCGACGGAACGTCCAAATTTGTCGAATATCGGTAACGAAGATATCTATGAGACTTTTCTACCTAAAAATTTAATGTAAAAATATTTGAATGATTATCATAACCTGTTGTGGCAAGTTTTAAGGAAATCTCAGGGAACAAGTAATCCATTAATATATGTTTTTCAATAAATTTTTATTCTCTCATCATACTTCTTGAATTATTTATTGAAATAATTACAAAGTAAACGCTTCGCTTATAAACTGTACAATACATTTATTGAGAATATTTAGCGAGGACAACTATATCGCTACTTTATCCATCTAAACAGCGCAGTTTATTTACAGCGACTTTAGCTTTACAAAAAGGAGAGGTATAAATAATATCTTAATTTACGAATTACGATTGTTCCGTATGGTATTAACAGCATTAACTATTTTTCTCTTCGTAATATCGAAGAACAATTACAATAAGATCAATGGTTATCATTTTTTAGTTAACATTGTCTTTAGAATGGTAGTCGAAGTTACGGTCGTATCGATTTGCAACCACATTGTACACCATATTATAAACATATTATAGACAGTAAAATCTCATTTATTCGTCACACCATTCCACTTTTTCTTAATATTAAAAATCAATGAACTCGTAGCCCGTCGTGTGCATGTTGTAAAAAGAAGCGAAAATCTGAAAGTCTAAATTTACGGAAACCTAGCAATTCAAATCGCACTTTGCAACAGCAAACTTTTGCATTTATAACAACGGTTTCAGCGGAGATTGTTTACTCTTCGCGTAACAAAAGCCTTGTAAACGGTATTCGCTCGGCGGTCTAATACGAATGCATCAGACCTATCTCCATTTTGCAAAAGAAACTTAAACGCGATCGATATTTTATGTTACGTAGGCGGAGAATATCGGTGATAAGGCCAACAATAATGCGGGGGCGGTGGTGGTTGCGGCGGGGCCGATGGAGGCACGGGTACCGTAGGATGTTGCGAACCCGATGCTCCTGTTGGATACAAGTGGTGAGTGTGATGCGAATGATGAGGATGACAATTTGCGCCTGTACCTCGGCTCGTCGGCGACGATTCTAACGTAACGCCAGCCTGCGCTTGACAGGCCATCATCAGTCCGTGGAAATCGAATTTGTAGGCGTAACGCTTCCCGTGGACCTTCGTCATTATATTTTTGTCGTAGTAGTACCTGTAACATCATACATTTTATTAATCACAATCATTGTCACCCGTCATGTTACATTATGAAGAAGCTATTTCGGAGCTTTATCGAAGACTTAGGAAAAGCTCTCCTCTAACGTTGAATGGATAAACTGATATTATCTTATATGAATTAGGTAGACAATTGTTGTAACGCGTCTTAAATTAATTTTCTTGTACGAGTAATCAGCTTGTTCGAAGATTTAGAGAGTTTATAGTTTTTAAATTTTGCGTAACTAGTTGAGATTTTCAATCAGTTATTATTGACTATGAATATTACTCACTTTTCTGCTAGATTACTTTGATTTTCAAACTTCTCAGCTCTCAAGGATGCATGCAGATAAAAAATAAACTAGACAACACTGGCTAGAGTCTAGGATATGATCCCTTCGGTTTACCTGAGCGCCCGCGATAGTTTGTCGTAGTTCATGTTCGGCTTGCTCTTCCTTTCGCCCCATCTGCGCGCGACCTCGTCCGGATCGGTAAGCTTGAACTCCCCGTTCGAGCCCTCCCACGCGATGCAGGTGGAATTCGACGAATCCGCGAGCAGCTCCAACAGGAATTGCCAGAGTTGAACCTGTCCGCCCCCGACCGCCCCGGAACCGCCGGCTCCAGCTGTCGATCCAATCAGCGAGCAAGTCCGTTGCAGGAGGCTGAACCTCTCTGCGAACAGGAAGCAGAGATACGCATGCACCGACTCCGCCGAATTTATCTCGGCACGAAGGCGAGGTCGATCCGCAGACTGGAGCGATGAAAGGGCTAGCGATGGGACAGAACATGGGGGAGACTGCTCAACAGAGGCTAGAACGTTTGTAAACAATTATTGTTTCAATTTTATCTTGCTTTCTGTTACTAACTGCGTCGATTCGTTTGGGTTGTTTTTAGGCGATAGACGCGGGATTTGGTCATTTTGCATTTTCTGTCTAGTTTTGTCGTGCTTGAATAGTATGCATGCAACACGAATAAGGTTGGAAGATGTGCCGCATTGCGATTTTTGTCGTTATTATTAGTCAGAGAGAGAAATGCTCGAGTTGCTTTCTATGGTTTTGAGATGTATGTACATGCACTTGCGAAGGTCGGTCTTGACCTTTTTAGTGGATTGATGCATATTTAATGCACTGATTTATGTAGCTTTCTATTCTTTACATAAAAGTGCTAAACCATTTGTGAAGCTAGATCATTAGGAATTACGAAGTTATGTTATTAGTTTAGTATTACATGAAACTGCTTTTTTAAGAAAATCCAAAATTAACAGTGATTAATTTAACTGAGTTAAATTGTACCGAATTCTCGAATAGCAACCAGTTCTGCTGAAACGCACGAAAGTCGATGGAACGATCTATTAACGCTAAACCTACCATGATGGTCGTCAAACTGACCGGTCTCGCGATTTTTATTTTAAAACTGTTGGAATTGTAGAGACTAAATTTCTTAAATCGAGGGTATATTTACAATAAAAATGGCGAGAAGTTATAACAAGTTCAGTCTTGTTATTCTTGTAAATCATCACTCGTCAGTCACGTTTAATGCCCGGCAGATTGAGCGTCGAGTGTCAAATAGTAACTACCGTTGTATAAAATGGCAGCTGCCGAAGGGTGGAATCTGGTATCCTGCTGAAGATGCAGCGGATGCGTTTGAATCCTCCACATTACGTGACGGAAGAAGGTGTTGTAAGCCTAATCCTTCACCGTGTGATCAACGGTGGTTGACAGGCCCATCGTCGATCTCCTTGCGATCATCGAGCACGTGTACAATACCGTAATCGTCGGTGACATTTGCTTCGTTTCCGAGCATTTACAATTTCGCTTTCGCATTACATTTTAATTGTACAAGAGCTCCCTCGCCGGTTTAGTTCTTCGAGCATTCATTTCCAAACGAAATTTCCAATCGAACGACAAACATCGTCCGTGAAAACGATTTAAACGTTCGTCCGATAGAAGCAACACAAACGGTTCGGTGTCCACTGCGTATACAGTTGCAACGTCGAACACGATCGCAACGTGGTGAATGGTTTTTACCGTTCGATCACTCGAGAACAATTGTTCTTGCAATGTTTCCCGCGTCGATCTTCCGAAGATCTTCGTTCGCACGCTAAAGCGCTAATCCCGGTAGATTTAGCGGGAGGTAACACCGTTATCAATTTGACGCACGCACTAACGTCGACGCACAAACTTTGATTACCGGATCCGATAAAACGCAGATATCCCCGGAATAAAACGTACCGGACGGTGGACAGAGTGTAACTGAGCGACCTTTGCCCCCGGTGATTTCAGCCCTTATCGCCCCCACTCCAACCCTCGTGGAAGGAATACCTTTACACCTCAATACGGTATGCGACTGTACCACCAGCTTCACCCACTCTCCCTGCTACGAGGGCCAATGCAAGGTTATGCAAGTCAACCAACCAGTTTATTCTATTTTCGGTGCTTCCATTGTCTTGCTCTTTATCCCATTCAATTGTCATCGACGAGACTATTACCCGTTGCTTCTTCTCGTAATAAGTAAAAAATCAAATATTTAATGGCCGTTGTTCGACAAATTGTTCAAGTCATACACATTTTCTTATACACATTTCTTATGTTACAAATTAATTCGACTGATCGTCGGACTTTGTTTATTTTCCAAGCAGTAGTACGATCGACGCCTCGAGTAAACATTAAGTGGAACGGCGACATTGTTGACGTTGAAACAAACACATCGATCTCGTAAACGGAGTCGCCGAAGCTGGAAATCGCTGTTTGATGAAGACCATATCTAATCCTTGTAGTACGTGCACACCGTTTTGAAAGATCACGACGGTATTTTTTCGAAGTGGCACTTCGTTTTTGAGAAAGCAGAATTTCAAGTTAATGTAAAAATACTTTTTACATTATAATATCTTACATTTTATAATATTAACACTGCCACGTTCTTCCGGGTTTTTTTGATCAAGTGATATTTCCATTTGTTTCTGCTTACCATGGTTGTAGAATGTTCTTTTTAAATTTAACTATAATCTCGCTTTGCTCAAGATCGTTCTTTTGAGAAAGGTATGTAAAAGATTGATACTACTAAGGAGAAGTTATATAACATTTTAATAAATTATTGTAACATAGTAGAAAAATTATAACGAAGAAACGAACATTTGAAACATCGAAAAAACCAGACCACTGTCTCTTAGAGAAATGATCCAATTACTAAGGAAATATCGAAGCGATTTCATGTTACCCTTCCGTAGCAATATTTTACCGTTACTGGTCTCAAATTAACATTTGAATATTCGATTTTTAGGCAGGATCATTTTGTTTTCATAGAAAATTTGAAATAGCTTCAAGAAATGGAAATATTTCAGTTCTTGACTCGAACCGTATCTACGTAAGTAGATTTTAAGTTATGTTCCAGCGGGAATTTTTCAATATTATTGAGCTCAAATTCGAAGTAGAAGTATCTGCTTTAAGACAGAGTAGCGCAGCGTAAAAAATAATCGCGAAATTATTTCACAAAACTAAAACAGCCCAATGTCCGACACGAAGAAAAACAACATGGTTTATTAAAGAAACTTCGACTCGATTCTAAATTGCGTTATCGTGTAACTTTTTTAACGACACTGGTCTCAAATTAAAGCTTGGACAGTCCACTTCAAAATGGAGCCATCCAGTTCAAAAACAGTAATTTCGAGTGATTTCGATTTCATTGCAAGATCGACCCAGTTTCGATTGCCAGCCACCGCATCCATATCTAGTAGATTACATCCGCAATCGTCGCAACGAGTCTGGTCCGTTGTCGTAGCGAATTTTATTGTCTAAATTCTCGGTTCCGTGGCTATAAGGGAAAAAACCACCGCGAGTCACAATTTTTCAAAGAATTTCAATCGATAAATAGGATTTACCGTATTCATCGGTAAAAACATCGTGAATACAAGTTCTACAGACATAAAAAGTATTGCAATTTTAAACGCTGCCAATACGAAACGATTAGAATTTTAAGCGACAATATGTCGGAAGTGAAAACACGCGACATTGCGGCGTTCTTCCTCGCAGCCGCGGAGCTATCAAGCGGTTTCGATGGTTTTTAACACGTTGACTGCCGCGTCACCCGTATTCGGGTGACAGCAAAAGTTCTCATCAGGCCACGTCACCCGTATTCGGGTGACAGCAAAAGTTCTCATCAGGCCACGTCACCCGTAAGTCGGGTGACGCTGATTTGACTACTTACAAAGGATTTCCGAAAATATTTCGACAAATATTCTACAGGAGGTAATGAAACTATTGAATTCTTATAAAAATGGTTTATTAACAAAATTATTCGCAGTGTATAACATTCAAACATTCTCTGCAAAGTTGAGGTTGATCAGGACAGCTTGGACAAAAAGTTGTTTGTTTTTTCAGATATGCTCGTGCCTATGATCGGTCCATTTCGTATCTTTTATTTGAACTGTAGCTTCCTCGGTATCATC